GAGAAGAATTCGTGGAGAGAAACTAGCATTGTCTTGCGCAGTGACGTATAGTGCGACCGGCGGTCCGAGTATATATGTATATCAAGAAGCTAGGCAATCGACACCTTTGTGTGCCCTACAACTTTGATCGTGACTGGGATCGGACTCCATCAGATGATGACCATTGAGTAAACAGATTTCATCGCATTCGAGCAGCCAGGTTATACTCGAACTCATCTGTGTGCTGAATCAAGAAAGTCTGACCATCCACAAATCGGCGGAAAGCGCGACGCTGCTCAAACCCTACTCGGCATAGACCACTACGCGACCAAGTCCTCCAAACCTTAATATTCCCCTAATCTCTCTGTTTCTTTAGATCTCAGCGTTACTACCTGTGAGCACTAGCTTGTCACTAGATTGAGTATCTGTTTCTATTTTGTATCTGATCTCAGCCGCATGGGCATGTCCCCCTTGGTACATATTCCCTGTATCCCGATTCGTCATCTTATTCCGGTTACATTCAAACTTACTTCATGAGGACGTGCATGACGGCGGATGGCAACTGTAGGCCTGTCTTCTCCCAAGATGGATCTATGGTGGAGGATTGAAGGGTTTTAGACAATTGGATTATAATATCGAATCAATGCTAGTCATCATTAGAAAACCGACTAGTTCACTTTTTTTGGTTAACTATCAACGTATGTACAAAAATCTATTCATCTGGTTTGGGACAAAACTTTTAGTATCAGTTTGGTCAGGGAAGAGGTCGATTTTATACTCCAGCTGACAAGTGGGCTGATGAGATTTTATGGAAGACGTCCTTGGTCACAGCCATAGATTGTTAATTCTGATAGTGTGAGAGATCCTCACATACTGAAGCCAGAAATGTGTCCGTTCTAGCAGAAGCGGCATCTCGAATCACGGATGAAAAAGGTGTGCTTCTAGACGCTATTCACGCTTACGTCTGAGTATCAAATTATGAAGACTCCAGTGACGATACGCATGTAGTGCTAAGGAAAAACTTCAAGTGTCCGTTGCGAGAAGTAGTTTTCGAAAGATATTGCCCGCCTCAAGCTTTTTCGCGCATCTAAAATTTTCACCTTGGTAATATTTGAAAGTTATGTCCTCTAATTTCTTAGGAAATGGGACCGGGTCATGGAGGATGTTTCTGAGTTATGAAAAAGGGATGGTTGGATCGGCATACGCCAAGAGTAAAACGGTGTGCTAAAGAATAGGAGCGGCTAGTATAGCCTGAACAGCTGGAGAAACGGATAAAGGTTCATCGCAAAATAGTGATGACGGAAGGCGCTTGGGAAATAAACTCATTTGGCGATTCGATACTTTTTCCTTACCTCAGATCCTTGTACATATACTGAAGAATTTGAATATCTTGGTTTCCCCAGGTCGAATTATTATGATTGGTGTATGATATAGGAATGTACACTTGCAGAGGAACAGCTAAGACAGTCTGTGGAAAGATATCTTTATTATTGTGTGTAGAAGCGAAATTACTTTGATAGTTGTTATGTGACGGTTGAGGGAAACTCGTCCGTTATCCCCTAGCTAGTTCGCTTATAGATCGACCAGGTAACCAGTTTGCAGCGCACCGAACTTTGCACCTTTTTGTTTTTAAATCATTTAATGTGTATTCAGCTGTCTAGCAATGACACATGACCGGTACTATGTATACATGTGGGATGACTCTTTTGACGTTAGAGACACTCATACTCTGGATTTCATTCGCAAATACCACTATGAGGTATGTTCGCTTACACAAACAGTCGACCCTCCTCTCTTAGTACCCACCAAGGGGAATTTCGAAACCCTTGGTTATCCAAGCATGCCTTCGTCATCCATGCATACCAGCGCCACGAGAAATGTGGTTGTGTTTTGCCGGATTTGAACCAGCGATCTACTGTCTCAAGTGGGATATGTGTCCAAGCTTTCCAGATTCTACTTGGCAGACCGGCCAAGACGATGTACCAACGCACCATCCAACCATTGCGGTGTTTATAGTGTCGCCTACACTCTCGCAACCGAAGTCTTGGCACGCACAAAGCTCAATTTGTTAAAACTCCTTTGCAAATTTCAAAATTCCACGCCCGTCGAGACAGTACCCATCCTTCGTATCATCTTGTTAACTTGTCCTGAATTCTCTCACGCCAAACCCAAAGAACTGTCTCCCAGATTTGTGCACCACGCTTTGCTTCCTCCTGCGGATATAAATATAGGCGTGGGCGTGTATTTGGTGACGAGCTGAGGCTAGAGAAAGTCGACGAGAGGTGTGATCATTGAAATGAGGATGTACTGGGTCGTACTTGTAGACTTGGTGAGATTTAGGTAGGATTCGATTTCGTTGTGAGTGAAAGATTGGTATGGTGGAGTATTTTGAATCATTCACTCGTGGGCCAACTTGTTCGGTATTGCGAAGTTTGATTGAACTTGGCTCTGGGTGAATATTTCACTCCCAGGTTCGTAAAGGACGCCGCTTTACAGCCTTAAACATTGTCAAAGCGTGGCGCACAAATCTGCGAGACAGTTCTTTGGGATGGACGTGAGAGGGATCAGGACAAGTTTACAAGATGTTGCAAAGGAAGGATGTAACCTTGAAAGGAGTGAATTTCCGAATTTTGGCAAGCAGTTTTACGAATTGAGCTTTGTGCGCGCCAAGACTTCGCTTGTGAGAGTGCAGCTGACACTATAAAAACGAGCCAACGATGGAAGGTGTTGTGGTCCGCCTCCTGGTGGTGTTCTCTGGTATGGTTTGAGTAGCCTGGGCACCTACTCCACTTGGGAAGGTGACATCTCAGATTACATTTCGCGCGGAGAAAAGTGGATGGATAACGGAGGCATTTCTGGATAACTCAGGGTTTTTGAGACGTTCCCCTGGGTGGGTATTCACGGATGAGGGTTGACTTGGGGTGAAGAAAAAGCCACCTTAACTTCGCAGTGGTACTTGCAAATGAAATCCGAGGCATGAGTGCTCCTATTATAAACTGAGTCATCTTTTCTGTACTTTTCTCTGATATTGTATCATAGCTAGATAGCTGCATACGCAATTTAAATCTGATGCAAAAAAAAAAAAAAAAAAGTCATGTTGCTGCCTTAATTACAACACTTTGATATTGCGAAATTTGACTGAACTTGGCTCTGGGAGAATATTTCACTTCCAGGTTCGTAGAGGACAACGCGTAAAGGTGTTCAGTCTTGCCCTCCGAGTGTTAGCGTTGATTACTGCTGCTAATAGGAGATCCCGCACGGGCTATCTATTGGGATTAAAAGGAGTCTGGTACCAGTGTTTAAGAGAGTAGTCGAATTGACATCCTTTTATTCTTCATTATTGCACAAGCTTCCCTCTAGCAACAAGTCCACGAAATAAGTAGTGGGTTACACATTTTAACATACGGGCAATATATCAATGACGGAGAAGTTCCCCGACCACTTTTTCTATTGCCACCTCTGGCAGTACCAGGTACAGCTCTACAGGGCTCATATCTTCAATCCCACCATATCTTGGGCTCTTGCTTCAGCGGGGGGAGTTTATGCATTTAATAGCTGGTCATGTAATAATAGATAGAGAGCTTTAAAGTGATGTAGACAATTTCCCTCTTTACCAATTTTATTTCTTTGCTCTGTATTCTCCATTGAATAACATTTGTAAATTATGAGAGATAACGGAAGGCCGATATTCATGTAAATTCAAACTTCGAGCGCAGGATAGAAAAAACCTGGTTTTCTTTTGCTGTGTTGGGTTTATATAGGCGCCAACATGTCGGGTAGCTATATATAGACTGGGCTAACCGGCACGTGAGGAGCCCACGAACTGCGCGCGGACACGACGTTAAATATTATAAATAAATAAATATATCTATGGTCTTTCAAATACATAAGTTGCAAGGAGCAGTGTACAAGGTATCGCCTGGGTCAGAAAGGAGCCCGATATGCTAGATAGTCTATGACTCAAGTAGTACAATAAAAACATCATATCAACGCTGCTGATCGATTCGTCCAAATATCTAGATATACTTACTTTTTCAGTTGTAAAACAGAAATTGGCGTGATTTAGAGTTGTGGGACAGGTATAACTTCTCATGAATCTTCGACTATCAAAATATTTCATCTGTCCTGTTTTCGAGACCTATCACTTTCTGCGGATGTTTGTTTCCAGTGCACGGCTGACGTATCTTGAGACTTCATCTCATCGACTAACTATCCTAAACGCTCATCTTAAGCACATGAAATCGGTCCAGATGCCTAGGGTAGTCCAACAGTAACTAGCGTGGTTGCCTTACGTCACTAGCTGAATAACGGCCGATTGGAAGAGCTAAATGATTGGTTTATGGTATTCGCGCGCCAGATGTCGAGGCTAGCGCCAAGCCGGCCAAGCAAAGCCTTGTTCCATGAAACTCGCTAGGGACGTTAGATCGTCTTGACAAGTCCCAGTTTCATATGCAAGTACCGTTTAACGGCATTGTGCAAGTCGCTGTTGTAATTCACCAACTTCTATAAACACTATTTCGATACCTTATTGTTGGCTAATTAAAATTTCAAATATATCTCTACTCCCTACACATGATCCCTCACAATATTCCCGGGATACCCGTGCATGCCATGATATCTTTACTGAGTAATTTGCGCCCAGTAAGAGAAGATGAAGGTAAAAATCTGGTGTGATTTTAACCCCGTCCTATCCTGATACTTGAGACGGTTTCTCCAGTATCCCTGAGACTACCTCTTTCTCTCAGTCACTGGTCTTCCGACAGTGTGAGACAATCTCCCTTCGCCATTCGCAAAACACTGTTATGCCAGGTGCATTCATCGGAAATTTCTATTCTTCGGACATTCCATGTTTTTATCCACAACGACTGGATCGTTTTTTGCCGAAAGTTGATCATTGCACTCCCATACGCCCATCAAGAAAGCTGATTCAAACCAAGGGCATCAGCGTATGCCCTTTACGCAAGCCATCGTGGCGAACGATCGGGTCTTCCCACGAGAGTGCTTGAAAAAATAATAAGAGGATGGCTCCCCTGGCTCAGACCATACAGAATATGCTGGAAAGCCGCAAATTACTTGTGAGTCGAGATGATGATAGCGACGACGAGGACGAGGATTACTCCGACAACGAAGACAATCATTCTAGAAGAAAAAAAATATCCAAGGAGCTGGATACTCCGCTACAACCTCTTCAGAATCAAACCTCATCAGAAGATCAGCTACCTTCGGAGGATCGTTTTCTACCAGAAGAAAAGTTATCGTCAGAAGATCGTTTTCTACCAGAAGAAAAGTTATCGTCAGAAGATCGTTTTCTACCAGAAGAAAAGGTACCATCAGAAGAACAGTTACCATCAGAAGAACAATTTCCATCAGAAGAACAGTTTCCATCAGAGGAACAGTTTCCATCAGAGGAACATTTTCCGTCAGAAGAACCAAAAGAAAATGAAGAGTCACCACCATCTCGCTCGCCGCCACAACCAGAACCGAGACCTCAGTTAGAACCATCACCAGGAAAACCACAGCCCCAATTATCACCCTCACCGCCATCACCGCCGCCACCACCTCCGCTGCCTCCTCCGCCTCAAGTTGTGACTGTGATATCTACCACAACAAAAACCACCAACCCCTCAGCTCCCACTTTAACGTCCATGCCAAATAATTTGAATCCGGGGATGAATCCACCCGTAAGAATTTCGTAAAAGATGACCTCTTGATTCAACAATCTAACGGCATATAGATGAATCAAACGACCCCTTCCACTCAGGCTGATGCGCCACGAAAAGAACTTAACCCGGGGCAGATGCCCACATCGCCAGCCAAGGTAACTCCTGCAGCTATGGGCCCTTCTCCTAGCATTCAGACGATAGTTATTGCACAGACAGGGAGCGCTTCCCTTAATTCATCACCGGTTTTGATACATCACGAACACCATGAAGGGGTTCTCTCGCCAACTGCAGAACATATATTGATTGCAGTAGGGGCAATTGGTATGTCGAACACTAAGGCTTTCAGTCAACAACTAATTATTTCTAGGTGCTTTTATCATATTTGTCGCTCTTTTCTACTTTTTCATGGTAATTAGGCGTCAGAATAAACTACTAAATCCTAGTGAACCTAGCATGAATAAAGATTGTAATACCAAGTTGGAACCAGAAAACACGAACGAACCACCACCGCAATACTCAATAGACAAAAATAGCCCTCCAATATACTTAGAAACAAGCGATCAAAAAACTCACTTGGAATCTACTACACCTGTCCAGCATACAAGCTCTCCCGAACTGTCTCAATCAAGATCAAACGATTCTTCTTTCGGTGTTTCAGCTAATCCAAATCTCTTTGAATCGCCAACTGCACAATCCCGTCTTGGTGACAGTTCGCAAATAAACACAGCTTTTTCGACTGACGCTCGGAATTTACACTATCCATCAATCTTCAATAATAACAACTCAATGTCTCAGAATGTGTATTCTACACACCAAACACCTGATATATATAGTTACAACCAGGGGCAAGCTGACCGTATGAGTTTTCGTTCATCTTTATCGTCAGGATTTGGGGACGGCCTGATCATTCCAGAACCGTCGGTAATAGGATCTGGTGTAAATAATCCTCGGCGTCAAAGTGTCCTCCAGCATCAAGCTGAACAACATCCAAGATTTTCATGGGTTCCGTCGCAGCCTCGTGATACCATGTATACTACGATTTCAGTCGATCCATCTCCCCGTTTTCGGACCGTAAATTCCTGGGTTGTGCAACAGAGTGATCGTGTCGAGCGTCAAGTCTCAACGGATAGAAATATAGCTTATCTGCCCGCAGCACCCCTACCTGTGCGAATAGCGGAAGCAAGGATTTTAAGTGAGCAGCCAGCTCTTACGCGACCGCAAGGAAAATAGTATGCCTTACTAGAGAGTCGTGATTTGTATGTTCCGTATTATATGAGGAAGGGGAATGTAATGGCAATCAGGGGTGCAAAACAGTAGCTGATTAACTCAGAATATTTTTCAAATTGATCGATTTACATCTAGATTGTTTATATCTTAAGCCTGGTGCGAGATAGGAAGGTTTGCATAGCGATAGAGTACCAATTTATCGTGGTATAATATCAAAATATTATTTTTCTATATAAATTTTGATGCTAATTTCAGTTTTATGATTTCACGTATAGTTTACCTACCTAGTTATTCAGTACTTGTTTAAGGCCAATTCAAGTGTATATTTCTACCGCCGTTTCTGACAGTAGACGTAACAAGTATCAGAAAAAATAAATATCCTTCACTAAAAAATGATAACAGCATAAACTAAAATCCAAATTGGAATAGCCGGCACGATGAAACAGACAAAAAAATTTCAAACTATACTATGTCATGTATCTTATCCCTTTTCAGTGTCAGGGGAAAATTCAAGCTATCTGGATCGTAGGCACAAAACGTGTCAGGCTCTATTATGGATGCCATGAATTTCACAAATCAATGACTCGCATGATGAGAACTGAGACGAGATGAAATAAACTGATTTTCTATGAAAAATCATCCAATCTTGCGAATACAGACACTATTGCATAAGGTTGGGAAGATGTAGTACAGAGGATGATTATCCGTCATAATTTTTGGCTCAACTAACTATGATTCAACCATTAAACAGCAATTTCTAGTTTCGATATCTACCCCATTATTCATTAGCTCCACAGGTCATCTGCTAATAGTTTAAATTCTAAAGAAGTTTTCTTAGACAGACAGGAATGTAACATTTTGTCGCAAAATATTCATATGCAACTGAGCCTGTTTTACTTGAATCAAGTAGTGCACATAAAACTCCAAATAGTTGTTTAATGAACTAGAAAATCAGGGGCTGTTTCCTAACCCCTTTTACGTTGTTAGTACCATGACTGAAAGCTTAATTCAACAATTTATAATCTAGTTTGCTCAAAGAGATCTAGAGTTTTGGAATATCAAAAGTTTGAAGAAAATCAAAGTGGAAACTTTTTAATTCGTAGGTAGCATGATTTCCTTTCCTCCCGGTCGCTTTAAATAAATATGGAGTTCAATAGAAAGTCTAACATCTGCATTATCCTCCCGGTCAAAGATGAATGAAGATCAAATACACTAGATATGACAAGTGAATCTAAGGACCTGGCCTGCTTAACTAGCAAGTGCTTGTTTAAATATCTACCCATAAGATTTAATAAAACTTAGTTCGACGTCCCCTCGAGCTCTTGAACACGGGGGCTAAACTAAGCTGTTTGTGAAGCTTGTAGATTTAGACTCAGTTCAAATTTTATTTATGTTTAATATTTTCACACGGATACCCAAGTTCATGTCCTATTTCTAATTCTATCCATAGACATATGCGTAGAGAACTCGTGGCCAGGCTGACAACGTTGCAATAGGGTGAAGTTCATCATTTCCCCAACGAATAAAGCATTGCTAGCCTCGCACATGAAAGATGTGAGGGGACGATGCCTTTGTCTCACAAAACGCGGCCCGTTCAGAACACGCTCAGTTTTGAAACCACAACATCTGATATTGATAACCCCTAAATGATTTATTCTTATCCTATGAAAAGCATCTAAACAGATCTAGAGAAACAACAAGCATTATTAGGCTAACTCTAAAATAATCTTTAATAGTCGGGATCCCTTGGCTTCGTTCTCTCTAATTAGTCTCATACTTCAGTCATTGTAGCCATCAAAACAGCTACTTTCTTCGATATGCTAGACGAGAACCTTCCAACTTTTTTCATACAAAGCCCTCGGTCCGAAGATCCGTACTCAACTACCATTTTGCTGGGTGAAAATGGTTCAGAGCCGCAACCCATATACACTCTCCGTAAACCCGATCCCCGTCTCACGGCTGCAAAAGGTTGTTATGCAGTTGCTCTCCACGACTCCTACAACCCTGATGTTCTCTATGCCGATGTTCAGGCCAAACCAGAATGGACACAAACTGTGCCGTCCTTGGCAGAACCTCGAACACAGACGGGTGTAAACACTTCAGTGCCCTTTGTTCCCAATGGTTTTACCATTCAGCTTTACAATCCAAACCAGCCCATGATAGTAAAGCATGTAGCTGGTACATGGAATACCTCTGCACACTGGGAGTTCGAGATGCCGCAAAGTACCTTTCGTGTCCCTTCCTCTTCCATCCTAGACCAAGGCCATGATGCGCCAGCCCTTAGCGATGTCACTCCAAAGATAAAATTCAAGTGGAAACGAGATGGAAAGCTAAGCAGGGACATCGCCTGCTATTTGGTAGGCCAGAAGATTGTTGGCAAAAAGAGTAAAGAGCCAGATATAACAATCGCCTTTTTTAAAGGAGGGAGAGACTTTACGATCTACCAGCCCAATATGCATCGTGTCGAAATTGAGGATACTAAAGGTCTGGAAGTTGCGCTACTTCTAAGTGGGATAGTTATCAAGGATTTATACTTTAATGCAAACAAAGAGATGTTTAATCTTTACTCCTCCGCAGACACTGCTACTTCCGGAGCCAATCTTACAAAGAAATCTTCTCTTACTTCTAAACCTGCAGGATCGTCAAGCACCAAACCACCACATAACCTTCTAATTAATACACTCGGCTCCTCAAGCACGCCTTCGATACGGACGGCCTCTGAAATTGATGCCGAAACAGAACGTCTCAGGAAAGTAATTGAAGCCGAAGAAGAGGCACAAAAAAAAGCAGAGGAAAAAGAACAACAATTCATCAAGGATATGCTCGATGCTGAAGAGAGAGAAAACCGAGAGCGAGAGCTTTTAGTAGAGAAAGAAACAGAGAGGTTGCGAAAGGAGTATGGTGTTTCAATGACGCCGCTTCTGTCTCCCGCCAACCCTAATACGGGCCCACATCTCAATTCCTCAACCTCTAGCCAGACCCAGGCTCCAAGCTCCCCAAAACCTATGCATTCCTCTGAGTCAGGACAGTTTAATATTCCTCAGGTCTCTGAGTGGCTGGCTCGACAACAGCAGAAGCAGAAAATTGGTAATTGGAGCCCTTCCTCAACCAGTACAAGCACGCTAAATAGCAGTGGGCTCTTAAATTTGGTTCAGAAGATACATCGTAAGAAGAGCTCTCAGTCCTAGGCACTAATGACTCGAAAGCTTATCTAACATGGAAATGATACAAATTATTAACCGCTAGACCCACAAAGCAATTGAGTCTCCCGTAACCTCATTCAAGATATTTTTGATGGCTTTGGATAGAAGCTCACAAACTACTGGTCCAGGCTAATAGCCTGTAATGTTGGGCCATAGATAGCCAGCTGTATTACTACGCATACTAGACTTGTATGTGTAACCAAACAACATATAAAGAGATCCACTGCCGAGTTATCCTATGAATAAGATCTTTTTTTTAGCGAGGAATTTGATATCTGATAGGCATTGTAAAAGAGGGATATCCTATGCTTTCTACACTCCAGGTGAGGAAGTAAGTCTATATATCCAAGACTGTAGAAGTTATGAAATCTGCTAGATTTCCATTTCCATCTCCATAGCAAGATACTTTATATAAATTATCAATAATCATTTTGGAACGATATCTCTTCCGCAGTTGGAAATCAAAGTAGTGTCTTTTCCCGACAAGTTTTATGCTTGCCCATACACTCCCGCGTTGGTTAATAATTCTTCACTAATAATGGCAGCTCACCGGCGAAGTTACATCCGGGATATCCCAGGCGACATCTTTGCTTGAGGGTCTGTCGAAAGTTAATTAAATATTTCGAAATCCAACGAAGTGAGGAAGAAATAGACTGGGAGGCCAAAGGCTGAATACCAGATGGTAATGTCTCCCACGAAATTGTGGCCTAAAGAAGTCCCAAGTGATAGGCACTCGGCTTGAGGTGATTGTAGTTGATTTTTTGGCCGGATAAAAAGACTGCTCTGACTTCGTCACCATATGAGTCATAGATAACCTAGGTACCGCCAATTTGCGCTTCACGAATGAATCTCGGTTTAGATGAGACTCACATTTGTACATGTGAAATATGTTGCACCATTTAACTTCTGTCAGCGTACTGTCCTCGTAAACATATCCCGAACTGCGTCCTTCCACACCAACTTACCATTCGTTCGAACTTGTCGTCACGAAGTTAGCCACACGGTAAATGAAGCGTGGAAACAAGGAAAAGAAGATAGGTGACATAATGACGGGATCATATCCTGGCTGCGGGTTTCAGATCTCCCATAATCTTAACAGATCATTGGTGTCACAGAAGGTAGGATAAGAGTAGGAGAGGTATCCAGAACTACAAACAAGGCGACGATAAAGCAGAGACTCTGGCGCAAGATTGCTAGAACTGGAGGAGAATGTACGCTTCGCTATGTTTGTAGCAGGTCTTCGCACCATTGTTAGGCTTATAGCTCTAGTAAAGGATGTTTAATAAAGAAGTAGATGTGATAAGCTTCGCAAAACCTATTAAAGCGATAATCTAGAAGAATAGCACAAGTTCTTTAGTATCAGTACATATGATACACAGACATAATAGCTCTGATGTAATAAGCCCTTATTCAAAAGGTCACTGTCCTGGCGCTACCAGTCTACCCTGCTGACGCGCTGAAGCTTCCCAACCACCAGCTAGAGGTGTACCACCATTCTTCGCAGCATAATCTGCCATACGAGCCTCTAATTCTGGTCTAAAGTGTCGGATTAGGCCTTGGATAGGCCATGAAAATGCCTCGCCGAGAGCTAAAAACTTGGTCAATGTTTCTTTCAATAACTTGTGGCGCGCGAAACTTACCGCAAATGGTGTGTCCTTCGACTTGCTTTGTCAGTTCCTGTAGCATGTCAATCTCTCGAGGCTTTCCCTGTCCTTTTTCAAAGCGCTTCATGATTTGTTCTGTCCACTTGCTACCTTCTCTACAAGGAGTGCATTGACCACAAGACTCGTGTCTGTAGAAGTGACTTAGTCTTGAGATTGCGCGGACAACGTCAGTGCTCTTGTCCATTACAATAACAGCTGCTGTGCCGAGACCAGACTGGCTATCCTTCAGCGCATCAAAATCCATGAGCTGGCTATCACACACTTCCTTGGGTAATATGGGGGTTGAGGATCCACCAGGAATAATGGCTTTCAAGTTATCCCAGCCTCCTCGTACACCACCACAATGCTTATCAATGAGTTCCCTTAGGGGAATGCTCATTTCTTCCTCAACCGTGCATGGATTGTTGACATGCCCAGAGATACAAAATAGTTTCGTCCCTGAATTCCTTTCTCTTCCGAAGCTAGAAAACCACGAAGCTCCTCGTCGGATAATTGTTGGTGCCACAGCGATGGTCTCAACGTTTGCCACAGTTGAGGGACATCCAAAAAGACCAACAGCTGCAGGAAAAGGTGGCTTGAGTCGGGGTTTTCCAGGTTTTCCCTCCAGAGATTCAATTAAAGAAGTTTCTTCTCCGCAGACATATGCTCCCATTCCACGATGGATGAATACATCAAAATCGTAACCGCTGCCACAGGAATTTTTTCCAATGAGACCATCTCTGTATGCTTCATTTATTGCTTCTTGTAGCGTTTCACCCTCATGAACGAATTCACCTCGTATATAAATGTATGCTGCGGTGCAATTCATAGCTCGGCCAGCGACTAGACACCCCTCTATTAGTTTGTGCGGATCCTTCCTCATTATTTCTCTGTCTTTGCATGTTCCTGGTTCCCCCTCGTCAGCGTTGACAACCAGGTACCTTGGCTTGTTGTCTTTTTCCCAGTCCTTAAAATTCATAAATGACTGAAGGAGAGTTAATCAAGCCTTGAGAGAAACTAGCATAGGGCCCCTACCCATTTTAGACCAGAAGGGAAGCCTGCTCCACCGCGACCTCTCAAGCCCGAGGCTTTAATCTCAGAGATTATCTATATCCAGCGTTAACTCTCAGTGTTTATTTCTCTTTAGCTTATATTTAGTACCCATTCATGACCCTTATTTAGGATTTCTTTAGTTTTGTACCAGTCTCCATACTTTTTGGCGGTCTTCAGGTCGGCAACTTTATTACCATACAGGTTTTGGAAAATTCTATCCTGATCTTTAAGTCCGCGGGAAAATTGTACGGCGGGAGTATTGTCTACCACTGTTGCAAGTGAGCGGCTTTGCTGCGGCGCACTTATTGGATATGAGTTAAAGGGCTTTGATATTGTGTAACAGTGTGGGAAGCTGGAGATAGTTTTCGAAGTAAGTCCCCGTCGCGATAGCATCATGAGAATTCTTCCTTCTCGGCAAGGCTTTGTAGATACTTTCATGCAGTTTGCTGTTGGATGAAGTTTGCTTGATATAGTACATTGCTAACCGACCTTGAAACGTCAACTGAATTAGCTTAGCTTTGATTGGTCGTGAAATCCGGGGAGGGATCTAATAGTACGGTCACCGAGAAATACAAGAATGAAGGTCTGCAAATTAACTGAACAAACCTTATGTAGAATTATACATTAGGTTGTATTACCTGATATGAAGCCCTAATGGTCCATGCAAATGTCCATGAACCTCAAGACTTACATGAAAGGAAACCCCTGTGAACATACCCTTGATCTTTCTGTTTAATTTCTATGATATCCTGTTCGTTCTTCAGGAAATGCAGTCACACCAGAGTGACATCCTTGTAAGCCAACCACATTCTCTTTATTGATCCTGAACGTTCATGGCATATATATTTCTCTCAGCAGCAGATCGACTTCTTTTGTTAACTAGAATTGCTCTACACAACTACCATTTAGGATCCACTGTGTAAATCTTTTGATGTTAGCAGGAATCTTTGTCATAGCCTCGAAGGAAAAATCCGTGGCATGTCTCAATCTCTCCACTAATTAACCACTGAGAGCAAGACACGATCGTGGGCTTGGGGTTTTACGGTTAGCAACTACACGGATAGGTTGTGTTGTAGACTCCTGATACTTACCTTATATATAAATATGAGCCGAGCCCATGTGCTCACTTCAAATTCACATTATGAGATTACTTTAGACCCTTGTTAGGTTACAGTGAAGAGAAAATGGCGAGTCCTAGACAATCGTTATCCAACACTCCGACTTTCGCCTTCGATAAAACTTCAAAGCTCTCTTAGTTTCAAGGTATGTAATAGCGAGTCATCGAGACTGCAGAATCCGCACTTGAGTCGACAAGGATTTCCCTCATTCTTGATATGATGCGAACCCTCCAGCCACTCTATGCTATCCTTTGGACTTGCCCTCCCCGCACATTTCCAATCAGTGTGCCAGATAACATCTCCTAATATCCGCTCGAATATCTACTTCAGCTTTCTTGGCCAGCTTGATTTTGGTGAAGGCAAATTGGATTTTCTTCTTAATTGATGGATCTTTTGTGCGACCAACGAATCGGAGTCTTGGCTCCTTCAAGAAGACTACTAATGATTGGATGGCCATTTCATGTTCTAGTAATCTCGTGCTGGTCGACTTACATGCACTCTGAGAAATTTTGAGAGTTTCAAACTTGCGAATGAATTTATCCTTGGATTCGTTGCTTAGTGCAAATTTAGTCACGTTACAGTTTTAGATCCGGCATATGTTTTTTTCTTAATTGGATTTTAATTGCGCATGTAGCTATCCAGTTACGATACAATATCGGAGATAAAGTACAGAATAAATGACTCAAATAAAAATTAGAGCACTCACGCCTCAGATTTCACCTGCAAGTACCACTACGGAGGTGTGGCGGCTTTTTCTTCTCCCAAGTCAGACCTTATCCGTGGATAATTACCCAGGTAAAAGCTTACAGAACCTTCAGATATCCAGAATTTACCCAATTATTTATGGAGTAACATCCGCGCGAAATGTAATCTCAGGCTTCACCTTCTCAAGTGTTGAGAGCTTGAGCCTCAATATCTATGGGGAAATGTTAGATTGTCAAGGATGTGGCCCATGAATAGTAGCAAAAGATTGCATCGATGAACAATGTTGTCATAGACGTAAAGATGCACCAAATGTTTTTGCAGACATCATGATGCTTTGGTCGGATGTGATCTTGTTGGGAGGTAGAAATTAGTATGGTATAGATTATTGAGTCATTGCCTTCTGAGCAAATTTTTTTGGCACTGCCAAGTTTTACTGTAATTATAATCGTGAGGATATTTTACTGCAAATTTTTTTGAGTGAACCGCAGGCAGGAGTTCAGTGTCACGGTTTGACCGTGGTTTAGCTTAGGCGGAGACCTAAGCGGAGTTTGGGGGCGTATTCGGGAGAGTGTTACACATTATCTTGTATCAAGCGACTTAGTTTCACTTGGCCACATTACATTAAAGCTAGGAAGGAATGTGAGACGGCGAAGTAGAATTGCCAAGTGAGAGAGTCAGCTAGATGGCAAAGATGACGACGGACAGTGGCGAAGCAATATGTCATTCTCACCAACAGAGTACGTATTGGATGAGCTAGAAGGATGTACAAATAGTCATTGCCCGTAGTTGTGATACTTCTCTCGTCAAATAGTTTAATCTTTCTAAAAGTACACTACAACCAGCTTGGTTTCGTCACATTCAGTCTTCGTTCTCCCTGCCTACCTTTTACATTAGGGATCTAGATGGGTGAATTTATGTTGAAAATCCATACGACAGTGGAATTAATTGTAGACTTCATACCAGCTATTAATTCGGCTGCGTGTGGAAACTTGCTCTCGAAATCTATTTATTAACAATAAGATTTTATCTGATTTCATTTAACCCCATTTGGCGCCCTATATGCCCATGAGTGCGGCTATGAATCTATCTGTATATTTATATGAGAGAGAAACCATTACAATAAAAAGCCTCCTCCCCCTTTTAACTTTAATCTTCATCTGTAAGAAGTACAATTGGCCTTTTTTAAATTTCATTTTATTGTTCTATCTGAGTCTATGACTATGTAGAACATGCAGATCCTCTCTGCCTATAGGCCAAAGATACCTATACCAGTAGTATATCCCCTCCTATGCCTCCTATGCCTCTCATACAGCTCCCCTCAAACAGTACCACCCCTTACAAGTCCTCATTCGATCATACACTAAGAGGAGCCCTTAGCCCTTCATTATCTCCCCTCTCCAGCCAACGAAACGATGGCCATTTGCGGGTGTATGGCAGCCGGGAAAAATCGCAAAAAACCACTGGGTGCGGAGCTCCCCTAATACCGACATTAGGACTAAATCCGAAGACATAGTGATCCTTCTGATGCGTTCGAAGAGGCCGGCCAGCCCGGCGCTGCAGACATGTGGGTACCTCGGGAAATTCACCCTCTGCCTTTCTAGCCTCCTTACAACTCCTTCCCGAAGGTCGTGCTGAAATGTCAGAAAAGTCTTGACAGAGCGTAATTGCTGTATGGTAGCTTAGCCCAACTTCTTTTGTGCCGTCCAGGGCGCTGGGGAGTGCTGTTGACTTATCGACAATAGAGGCCCTCCTGGCTAATTAGCCGAAATCTTAGTCTTGGCGCCTACAAACATTCCAGTCGAAAACCGCTCGAAAATATCGATCCCAGCATACTCTTCAGAGACCTCTTTCCCCTCTCGCTCCACATCTCAGCCGCCTGTTCTTCCTCAAGTTGTTTGTCCCATTATAGCAACAGTCCCCCATAAGCCATGACCTAGGCTTTGTATTTTTCGACTTGATTTCCTCCTTGCGGGTATGAATAGCGTCGTAAATATGTAGTGAGTGATGGCTGGAGATTAATGGGGCAAGCTCCTGTTTGCAATTGGAGCAACTTCTTTATTGGTAGTTGAGGCGAGATGATGCGTGGTTAGAGATGGTTTCAGGACTCAGATGATAATGATGAGAGAGACATTGTCGAGAAGTTGTCAAATGGAGATGTGTAAGAGGTTGCTTTCGATTTCGATTCGGATGCAATTCTTCTTGGCTATCCCAGATATGCAGAGCATACTGAGCGATTACAACGGCACCACTGGAAGGTGAAGAATTCGTCTTTGCTGGCTATCGATTTATTGAGTTAACCTTCAGGAAGTGCAGTGTACACTGTTCAGCTAGTGTTGATTCCGTCCTCTCCCCTTCCAGATCTATTTATTTACCGACATTGCTACCTGGACTTCCGCTGCAAGTCGAGACTGTTTTATCCACCCTTTTCTTAGTATCCACTGTGTCATTCTAGCCACATCTTCTGGGCTGTTCATCATTGATTCAAATGAGCTGTCTTAAGCTTATCCACATTGAAAGCATGGCTTTTCTACTCCGTGCACTTTCCCTCTGCACAGGTAAGACTTGAGTCCGATATGTTCGCTTCTTAGCTGAGTGGCGACACTGCTTTGGGCCCTGGTTAGGTTACGGTGGATTTTTAAGATGTATATTTGAAGTTCATTTTGGTGCTGCTTGTTTGTTCATCAGAAAATATATTTGCCGCTTTTGCTGTTAAAGTTATTTTAGTTATTATCATCAACTTATAGATACTTTACATTCAGTGAAGGTGTGAAATAATAGCCTAGGTACGTGATACGATTACATTTAAGTCACATGACTTCTACTAATTTATCGAATTATATATATAGTTCATAATGCAGTACTTTCCTCTAATAAGACGTAAAATAATACAAAAAAACTATGCAATACTTTCACCGGAAGCGAGGATCACCAAGAGAGCCTGCTCTAAATAGAGGAGGGACAATCATAACGTCCAATGATCATACACGCTGGCTAGGAATATTCTTTGACTGCGCGCTCCGATTCCAATTTCAAACCCTACAGGCTCGCCGAAAGTCTCAAGATATCACGAGCCATTTGAAAAGACTCTCAACCACAACTCGAGGAATTAATCCTCTTTTTCTACGACAAGCTCTGCATGGTGTCGCCTTTGCGACCCTCTTCTATGGGGCCGAGACCTGGTACTCTAAAGAGACTTCTCAAAAGATCATCTCGCGACTTCAACACAAGATGAACGACGCGGCTCGGGCAGCCCTCCCGGTCTATCGTACAACACTCATAGCAGCACTTCTATGAGAAGCTGGCTAGGGCCCAGCCTAGACGTGGCTCTCCCGAACTCACAGTCGTCTAGCGGTTCGAATCGCTGCAGCTGACCCCAATCATCCTCTTTGTAGGAGTTGGAACACTAGCCGCATGTGCTGGATCCATCAAAGAATCTCGCCAGAACTTTCCGAGGACATCATCCCTCCACCGTGGTCGTCATCCCGTGAAGAAGGCTCATCGAAATTGGAGTACTAGGTAGACTCCTGGGACCAAATCCCTTCAAACAGTGGCAGGCTACACGACCTACCCTAGACTTATTTGTATTCTCAGACGGAGCTCTAATAGACGACCGAG